AGGATTGTTCATTATTCTGCTTTGGGAATTGGTTTATTAACTTAGAGTGTTTATAAAAAACTTTCATGTTCATGTTCAATTCAAAATTCCCATCTACAGTTTAACGTCTCATATGATAGTTCTTTGGTTTTAAGGTGCACTGTTTTTCCTCTCCCATGGAAAATAGATGCTAATCTCGGAGTGCATCTTATAGCAAATTATTTTGGAGCAGCCTTGTCACAGTGTTTGTTTATCATTTAAATTGATTTTTTGCTTTACTCTAAGTCCGTTGACAGAATTTTCCATCTTACTGTGCATGTGTGAATCACTAAGACTATTTATGGGTCTTTTAACTGACTTGTAGACATTGTGAATTTTTCAAGTTGTGGGTTCTTAATATAACTGGAAACTTCTTACAGTTGAATAACTACAATAATGCCCATCTGAGAGGGCTTTAACTAACCAACGTATTATTGCCCAGAGGCTCATGTTACAAGTGTTCCACAACCTCAAAAAAGTGTCACAGAACTATGAAAGTAAAAAACTAAGAACAAGTGATATTTTACATTTTAACTTCTAGTTGTGACCAGCATCAAATTTCCCCCCATGTGAATCACTATGAACTCAAAACCCATGAAAATCTTGTGAAATAATTCATTGTAAATTCACAGATTTTTCACAGGATATTCATGGTTAAATCAATGACATTTTCATGGTCTAAGTGCCATGAAAAAGACCTGAAAAATCCCATGAAAAACCTGTGAAAATTTCCATATTCACGACCCATGAAATATTGAGTAAAGTGACCTAGAAGCCATGAAATACCCATGAAAATGGCATTTCATGGCCTTTTCAAAGGTACTGAGAAACCCATGAATTTCAAGCCCAAAATTTCATGGTGTCAAAGTTCACTAGTTTTTAATGGGTTGCAGCAAATCATGACCCATGAATATCCTGTGAATATGTTAAAAATTCATTGACCATGAAAATTTTCCTTGAATTTTCATGGCCTCTACATGGTTTTTTCATGGCACATGAAAGTTAATTGCCAGTTAGTTTTCATGGGGTTGTTAGGAATATGCAAGCACCATGAAAATTCTTTGAAAACCCTATGAATTTGGAATTAAAAATTCTTCACTTTTCTTGTACCAAAGACTGTACTACAGTGTATAGCTTGCAGTATACCATAACTGTAATACATACACTATCACTTAAATTATACACTGAAGAACTAACCTGTCTGTGAAACTTCTTGGTCCTGTTGTACAAGCACACACACATGAAAGACATGACCAGAAGTTTGGATTCTCTGATAGTTTATTTTGTTTCACCAGCTGTACATAAATATTACTTTAGGATTCCAAAATTGTGATAATTCAGTTTACACTTTCTTAAATAAAAAAAGTTGGTATGAAATTTTCTGCATAAAATTAAGATGTTAATGATTTTTAGCTCTATTTTGATATCACTGATTTTCCTTGTGGAGACAGATTCTGCTCCTATATTTCTGAAGGTATATAATAAATTTGATGTGAAAAATATTTGGACGAAATTATTGAAAATATACTCACTGGTTTGATGTATTTTTGTCTAAACTTCAAATATCATTTCCTTCGTCTAATATCATGTGTGAAATTTTATGGACAGTTATTATAATGTCTATTTATGTAACAGCATTCATGTAAATTTCTTGATATGTTTTACACTTGTGATCAATACTCTCAAGGTAACTAACAACAAAACAATTACCAACTTTCTGCACTCTTGCATGTGTGAAGATATATCTATGGCTGACTATGTCAGTGTCTCTCTGTTTTGGCCACCTGAATGTGCCATCCTTCTTTCGGTTATCATTACTATTTGCATCTTCATCATCGTTTGGACCAAGATAGGCTGCTTTAGCAAGTGTGCATTTCCTTTCATCAGTTTTGTAGACCAACACTCTTCACTGTTTACAAAATAAAGGGAGCACATCATCAGTTATCTAAGAGCCTTTCTTATGTACGTAGTAAACCTAGAAATGGATAACTCGCCAAAACGGGTTCTTTTCAACATGAAGCCGTCAGATACTAAGCGACGCACTATGGAAGTGAGGTGAGGTATTTCGTATTCAGAATTTGACTGTATTTTTTATTCCTAAGAACGGTCGTAGGTATTTCCATACAAACTCTTGTGATGTTTCGCCAGATGATCACAGAATAAAAATTTTCAAGTTAAATCAATAGTTAGCGCGCGCGCGCTCCGATGTTTAAGCGTAATAAGATGACCAAGCTTGAACTTACCCCTTCACGTTGTTATACATGTCGATAACTTCATCTTGAGGAAACCTCTTTGAAAAAACTTTTCAGACGGTCCATTGCGTTGATCTGGAAAAAAAGAGACTGCTACACAAACACTACGAGAAATGCAATTAGAATGGAACCATTCCGTTCGAGGTACGAAAAAAACCGCCACTTCTTCGTAAATCACGTGTACTTTCACGTGGTGACCTTAGGTCATCGCAGCCATCATAGGTCAGCGGTCACATAGTGACCTCACAGGTTATCGTGTTCGACGTTACGAAATGACTCCGAAGAGGTCTCGTTGCTGCGTCTGTAATCTTACAAAATAAAGCAGCACAAAAAGCTGTTCGGTATTTGGAATTCGAAGCAAGTAACAATCGACAGGACATCAGAGTCCAAGAAAGTCAGAGCTGACATCGACAGTGATTCCTGTGAAAGCGATCACGAAATCAACAACGATGTTGTAGAAGGCGATCTCAATGAATACATGAAGGTAACGTTTCATCCCGACTGAGAAGATGGCCTGACTCTGTTAACCGGCGACTCTATGAACGAGGTAAAAATAGCATTTTTTTCAGGTTTCATTTGCACGCTATTCAAAGTTCCAAATTGAGGTGACAAAGTGATTGATTTTTCATTGTTTTGTTCCACATTTCGTGTAGATGCAATGCGTACTATTGCTGTGCAACTTAAGCATCTGTACTCTGCAGGTACCTTACTGGAAAAGCCCTAGAAGATTCCTCAGCCGTAAGAATGTAAGAGAAGGCCTTGAACAGGTTTCCAGAGTCATGGCTAACAATCAAAGCCAGCAGTGAGCCAGAAAAAATTCAACAAAGTCGTCCAGGCATGGCGAAGGCAAAAAGGCCCCAAAAAATCAAAGTGAGGATCAAACATCTGGGTCATTGCCTCCAGCCCTATTTGTCTCAACAAAGGAGCAAATTGAAGATCCATTGTTTTTAGTCATTGTTTTGTGATTTCCTGTACATTTTACGTTAACAAAGGCCACTTAAGATGTTTAGGGACATTTTCATTCGACGGTTTTCGCGCTGTACACCAAAATTCCATCAGTGCATAAATTTATAACAAGTTAGTTCCACGGATCATGAAAGTCAGCTCATTGATAAATCAGTGACTGTGATGAACTCATTATTACCACTTTTAATGGCCTATGAATTCATCAATGAAATTCATGGGCAACAGATTTCAGGGAATATTCATGGCCCATTAATTTTGTTCTCCCAAAACAAATAAATTGTTAGCCCATGAAATGCTGTTTTATTGCAATTCATGGGCATGAAATTCATTCTGATGACTTTCTGGGGAAACTAATGGGTCATGAAAGTAGACTTTGAAGAAATTCATGGGTCATGAAAGTAGGCATATAAAGAAATTCATGGGTCATGAAATTAATTCTGATGACTTTCATGGCAAATCAATGGGTCATAAAAATAGACTTTGAAGAAATTCATGGGTCATGAAAAAAATTCCCCTAATTCATGGAAAATTCAGGGCTAAAAATAACCCCATGAAATTTCATTTTGCAGTATTCATGGACCATGAAATGATCTTCATGGGGTTTTTCACATGAAATTCATGGAATTTTCATAAAACTACAGTTCATAGTGAATCAAACATTAAGGTTATAAGGATAAAAGAGGTAATTACCAACTGTAGAAGCTCTTGATTGTTAAGCAAATTCTCCTTGTCAGCCTCTTAGGAAATATTTAGATAACTGTAAGGAGAATATACATACTGATGTTAGGGTGTAAAGGGTTAAAAGTTCTGAAAATAACAAAATTGGCCAGGTCTGAATTAATTGTGATGAGCACAGAACATTGCAATATAATGTTTGCTTATTAAATATGCCAGAAAAAGGTAAAAAATAATAATTTTGTTTCTTTGAAAGTATTGCATAAGAAATTTTCATGGGTTTCATTTCATAAGATATGTTGCTCTTGCTTGGGTTATGCTGTCAGGGTCACAACACAGAATGTATACATAACCAACAGTAAGAAAATGTTCACTCTCTTTGTGTGTGATCCTGTTATATGTAATGTGGTTATTTTGTAAGGAAAATGTCATTGTGGCTTATGAGCAGTCAAAAGTAATGGGGTAGTCCTCTTCTGACCCAACATTAGCTCTTTGGAGTTTCCTGTTGCTAGATAACAAGAGAGATTTAGGCTTCCATGCCCTTCTAGTGGCAGTAGTTTTGATGGGGTATTATGACATATTCTCTAAAAACTTCTTTCCTCTTTTAACTTAAGACCCTGCTCTAGAATTGGCTTGTAATGCTTCTATTGCTGGTGTAAACCAATGCTGAGGGAACTCAGTATTAAAATGATATGAAGTTATTATATATTACAATTAAACACAATGTTGTTTAGGTCTTGGATAAAAATCTTGTAGCAAATTATGATCCTTATATCAGTCATATATGTTAAATTATTTCCCTAAAGTGAAAACTCTGACAAGCAAAATTTTAAAAATTGTTGTCAGTATTTAACTGCATTAAATTTTGAATTAAATTTTTTATCATGTTCATTCCTGTGTTCTATTGAGCAGTGAAACTGTTGTCATTACAGGTAACAGTTAACATTTTGTGTGGTTCAGCAGTGAAATGCTATCAATAACTTATAAATTGTTCTTATAAATTGTTATGTGATTTGATTTTTTTCAGGAATCTCTGATCCCAAACACTTTTTTCCTTCAGCTGTCTCCTTGTCTGACCAAGCTGGCTAATTTGGAGTACCACTGTGACATCACCAAAATGTGATCAACAAAGGATTGCAAATGGTGTGTGGGGGAGCTCAGGTAAACATAAGGCTGTCAAATAATAATTATTATTATCCTATGAGTATGAACTGAAGATACCTGGAGTATTTTAATTTGTAATTATCATTATATATACAGCGCAGATTTGATGATAAGTTTATAATATTTTAGTCAATAAACTTCTATAGAGACACGATTATGTAGGTATATTATTCCTTCAGAGCGCAAAAACAATCCCTGATACTCTAAAGATGACAGGTTTGAACCCAAAGAGTGACTAGCATCTAATTTCTCCTTACAATATAACCCCTGAGTCACGTGTTAGGGTCATGAGAATGAAGGAAATGATTATTAATTAAAGAAAAGCTTTTGATCATTAAATAAAATCTCCTTGTCAGCATCTTAGGAAATGTGTAAAGAAAGTATGGAGAATATGCATTATGACACTTGGATGTAAAGGATTAAATAATGTTGAAGGAGTCAAACTGATTAGTAGAGTGGAGAGGTCTTGCTCCTCTTTCCAGTACATGTCTAAGAGAAACAATTACCCAATTGTAATGTTTCTTTCAGAAAACGCGCAGGTACACCTGATGACTCCATCTTTGTATTTTGGATCATATGGCATCAGCTACTCCTTCACCTCTTGCCAGTTCTGTAGAGAAGACAAATGGAGCCAAGCTCAGCCGACTTCTCATCGATGGTGGAACAACAGTTCTCAGGAACGTTTTCAATGGATATCATTCCCCAGCAAGTCTTTCAGCCGCGTTGAATGCAAACTATTCAACTCTTAAAAATCTGTTGAAAAGAAAGATTCTACACAAACCTCAATGGGATCTATTGTTTCCTCCAAGCGGAGCTCTTCCAGACTCCCAAACATTTGATATCACTCTGTTATTCCAACTCTTAACCAATATTTGTGGTCTCTCTCCACCCCACTCTGGGTGGCACAAAAAACCACTTCCAAGTGACAACTCCCTTGAAGCAAATCTTGCTCGCATAAAGTTTTACCGCAATGAATTGTATGGCCATGTTACCACAACTGGTATTGCTGATCCAACTTTCTCAACTCTGTGGCAGGAGATCAGCGTTGTTCTTGTTGCTCTTGGCTTGCAGCAGGCAGAAATTGATAGATTGAAGGCTGAGCATTGTGGAGAGCAGGAGTACCTTGATGCGTTGCGCAAGTGGACTGATTCTGAGGAAGATGTAAAATCACAGCTGAAGGACATACGGGATATTGACACCAAAGTGCTGCAAACTGTTGATGAAAATAAAGCAAAGCTGGAAGAAGTTCATCAGTTACAAAAGAAGTTGCAAGAATCTGTGCAGAGCCAACAGCAAGACACCATTCAAAATTTGAATAAAGAGAAGGAGAGCATCTGGGATGACGAAGTCCTTGCGAAACTAGCAAACGTTGACAATTTAGGTGAAATTAGACGCCATGCAAGCAGATATGTTGAGGGAACTCGTTTATCGGTCTTTGCAGCAGTTGAGAGGTGGTTAGACGACAAAAGTTCTCCAAATAGAGTGATTGTTATTAGTGGGAATGCGGGGATGGGAAAGTCTGTAATCTCAGCTGTCTTATGCCAAAAGATGTTAGAGGCTGGAAGATTGTCAGGGAGCCACTTCTGTCGGCATAACAAGGCACGCCGAAGAAATCCCAAAGTGATGCTGCAGTCGTTAGCCTGTCAGCTTTCAGAATCGCTGCCAGAGTACAGGAAGGCTTTAGTGAAGAAGTTTTCGAGAAACCTGGGCGTTAAAATTGGAGACATGGAAGTGGAAGAACTGTTTGAATTTTTGTTTGAAGAACCTCTTTCAGATTTGGAAGACCAAGGCTCTATCCATCTCATGGTAATAGATGGCTTGGACGAAAGTGAATACCATGGGCGTAATGAGCTTTTGAATGTGATTGCCGATTACTTCAAGACGCTCCCGTGTTGGATACGATTTGTGGTAACAACGCGACCTGAAATGAACATCTTAGAGAAGATTCAAGACTTAAATCCCATACAGCTGAACCCAAACGATCAAGAAAACTTGATGGACGTTAGGCTTTGCTTTCAAGAGCAACTGGAACATGTTCTGCAATCTGATTGCCAAGATACCATCTTAGAAAAGCTTGTTGAAAAGTCAGAAGGGGTCATGTTATATACCTATTACCTGACAGAGTTCATTAAGAAGAATGCTGTGCGTATGAGTGCTGCTGAAGTGATGAACAGCGACTTGCCATCAGGTATTTCGTCCGTTTATCAAGACTACTTCAAACGCCTGAAAAATGAAATGCAGAAAGAACTAGGTATCACCGAAGAGCAATTCTTCGATTTTTTAAATGCCATCGTGGCAGCGAGAGAACCATTACCTGTCGAGTTTGTCTACAAGTTGTTCCTTTCAAAAGAATGGTCATCGGCTGATGAGCAAAAAGTACGAGACGCAGTTGATTGTATCTCGGCTCTTCTACCCATTGAGGGCAAGTGCATTAACTTCTTTCACAAGTCAGTCAAGGACTGGCTGGTTGAGGAGTCTACTTCGAGGCAAAAGAAGTTTATTGTTAGCGGAAAAGAATGTCATCGCGTCATTGCAAAGCTTTGCAAAGATGAACTAGATGAATTGAAACTGAAAAAGTTCCAGAGTTCAACACTGAAACAGACGTCGAGGTATGCCTTGCAGCATGGTGTTCAGCATATACTTGAGGTAGAAGAGAATGCTCGTTCACGTAGCCTGGACGACATTGTAAAGAATTATGTTTTGGACCTAGAATTGGTCTATGCAAAGCTAACTGTGAAGAGTACAGCAGCCACTGAAGATGTTCTTTGCGTGCAAGAGAAGGAAAATACAAATGGTTTGTCAAAGAATTGCAGAGAAGCCCTTGAGACGTTATTGTTGCTGTTGCGGAAGCATGTAAGTACTCTTTCAAAACTTCCTCATGCCATCTTTCAAATTTTGTTGAATGAAGGAGGACCTGAACTGTCTGCGAAGGCATTAAGCTTGCTAAACACCAAGTATGCGGACTTACCATATATGGAATATTTGCGAAAGAAGGAGGAAAGAACAGATGTTCTACTGCAGTTTGTTGCTTCAGATCAGGTGATCTCCTTTGATGTCTCACCAAATCAGGACTACCTGGTATGCGAGTGTTCGAATCACACAATTCATCTGTGGTCGCTCCGTAGTGGCCAGCTAATGTGGACACGCTCTGCGCTGGTATCAAACATTGATTTTCGGGATCACCTAGGGAACGCATGGGCTTTCCTTTTCCAATTTTACCGGTCAGTAGTTTTCCATCCAACCTTAGACCTGATCTTACAAGGGACTCTGTGTCAGGGTTATACCTTGGTCGGAGACGTGAAACCTCTTTTCCGTTCGAGCGAGTGCCGGTTCAAAGTTTGTTCAATATCTGGTGACAAAAGCACGATGCTGACTGACTGTCTGGACGGGAGGAATTGCGTCATCCAGTGGAGTCTAAAAGATGGAAGTGAAATTAGTCGTTTTACACACAAATGCAAAATTTTATCTTTTGCTTGGTCTGCTAGTGGAAGACGGATGGTGATCGTCGATTCTGACAAGTGCGCATACCTCATTGACATGAATGATGGAGTTGAGACTCTAATATGTCCTTCAGTCTGGTCACGATATGTTAAGTTGACTCCTGACTGCCGGTTTTTTTTCTGTTTACTTGCGGATGGGGATGAACATAATTGGTATCGAATCCCAAGCTTTTTTGTTTAGATATTGACAGGAACACTGAGTCAATGTATAGTTTGGATTGCATTTTTGGGACGAGTTCCTGCCAGTACGCCTCGGAATTTGAAACTTGCAATGAGAGTGGTTTCTTATCAGGAGATCCCTTTTGGTTTTTAGTTGCAAGAACATTCCTACTTATGGATTTTGCACGTTTTGCACTTGTACTAGAAAAGCAGATGTTACTAAGAGTTTTCCCTTACAGTGAAGTGATTGAAATGTGTCGCCTTAATGACGTAAGGGAGTGGAGAGGTGAGGGTAGCGATGAAGTGGGACTAAGCATAGAACCCGGTGACATTACGACAGAGAGAACCGAAAATAACGATCTAACGGAACATAACCTACCAGAAATCAACCATATGCTGGAACAGAAAGCTGAAATCGATGTTCTGTCAGGACAGAGAGCTGAAGTTGCTGATCCATCAGAACAGAGAGCTGAACTCAGTGGCCTAGTTGAACAGACAATGGAGCGTAACAACTCTACGGAAAAGAGAGATGAACTTGATGACTTTGTGGTAGAACGAATGGAATTTAATGACCCATCAGAAAAGAGGCTCCAACTCGATGAACTGTCAGAACGATTGGAAACTGATCCATGCAGCTTATTAGGGAATGGAGCTGATCCTTATTCTAAAGGGGGTAAGTTTCCAAAGAAACTGTGGTGCTGTGTCGGAGGGAGAGTATAACAGGGTAATTTAGTATTACCAATTGAGTTGATAACGTAAACTGGCCATCGCTATTAAACTCTTTATGGTGGCCAATTTACGTTATCATCGCAGTTGATAATACTTAATTGCCTAGATCTTTATTCTGTTCTCTCTTTCCTAGATGATCAGGAACAACAGGAACCTCTACTTGAGGACATGGAGGAAAACGGTTTTGTTGGATATGATCTCTTTCCAACAAGTTTTGACGTTCATTTCTCTGTTGATGGTGACTCTCTTTATACCGTGGAAGATACAAGGATCCAGCGAATAAATCTTGTGGCTGGCGATGTTTTAAGTAAAAGGATCAGAAAAAAGGAATATATGATTTTTGCACAGTCTTTAAGTGTTGTGCCCGTCAAAAGAGGTGTCCTATTTCGAACAGTTAGTGGCTCGCTTGAGTTGTGGAACTCTGATTTGTCTGTTTGCATGAAAAGGTGGATTGAGTTTCCTGTCGATGATGTTGTACCCTTATCAGAGGAACGAGTCGCCTTGAAAACGAGGAATAACTTTGATTACAGATGGGAAGTCACCATTCTAGATACAACGAGTGAACAAATTGTGTCAAAGATTGCAAATTTTGATGGTATTTTTTTGGCATGTAATAATAAATGGGAAGTGCTAACCACCACTGGAAAGTCACTGCAGCTGTGGCGTGAAAACCGAGTGCTATGGGAAACTTCTAAGTTCAATCCATTCGGGCTTCTAACGGCTATTTTTTCTCCTACTGTAGAAAACGTCGTCACTTATGGTGCACCTGGCTCTTACGTCCTCGACGCAGTTTCGGGAAAAGTGATTCGTCAATTGGAGAACATCGTTGTATATGATATTAAGTTTATCAGTAACGAGGACTGCATTGTGGGCTTGAATGATCTAAGAGGTTTGTGTCTTCGATTATACAACGTTAAATCTGGTGATCTCCTCAGTGAAATTGTAGAGGAACGACGATTTCGAAGTCTTGCAGTTTGTCCTCGTAAGCGCTTGGTCGCAATTGGCTCTAGACACTTCAAGGACCATTTTGAAATCATTCAAGCGAAGCTGCCAGGCGACAAAGAAAAGACAAACATCGAAAGGTCAGTTGAAACAAAGTTTATTTGAAGACAGAAAAAGAATAATGTGGATAATAATATAATGTTAATAGTAGTAAGAGTAACAATGATACTTAATAATAATGTGATAATGATAACAATAATGATGATTGTACATGTAATACTAACGATAACAGTGGTAGTAAGAAAAGTTATGATGATAATTATAACTATGATGATATTAATGATAAATAATGGTAACAGAACAGAGTGGAGTCCACTTCGGTCTGTAATCATACGAGAGATTAGCAAAATCGGACGACCGCAAAGTCCGATTTGTCAATCACGAGTGTGATTATAGACACAATTGGACGACACAAAGTCCTATATCAATTTATGTTAACCGTTACAATTTCTGAAGACAACAAACACATCGAGGACAAATATCTCTGGTAGAGACAATTTCTAAAAAGAAAAATTTCTCAATTTTGGAAATTCCACAGTTTTTTTTAGTGTTAGTGGTTGTTGCTATGGTTGTTGTGATCAATTCTGTGATTGGTGGATTTTGCGGAAAGTACTCAGTATGATTGGACGCTTCAACTATCCGATCTCAGGTGTCCGATTACAGACAACTGTCCGGTTACAACTGTACAGAATGATTTGTGAAAAATAACTACTGATCACTAGTTAATTTACTAAAAAATAATCTATTACTTGAGATGTTGCCTTTGACTTAACTTCTATTATTGAATTTTTACCTTAGGTTGAACCTCCCAAAGTAGAGATTTACAGTTTCGTTGCTGAATGGGAAAGACATTGTCAGAAAGGCTGTATTCCGCTGATTCCTTTGCATTCAAGTGGTTACGATCTTCTAGTCCCGACATCTGAACAGGAGAGACCGCTGATCGAGATTGGAGCGAGTACAAGAATGATTTTAGTGACAAAGCTGTTCAAGGTTTTAAATTATATTTTTCTTGTAGAGACTTCATAAACATTTTTAACTGTTCCCAGCGTAAACTTAAGACAAACATTTAACCCTTTAACTCCCATGAGTGACCAAGACAGAATTTCTCCTTACAAAATCAATAGAACATCAACCAGATAAGTGATGAGAATAAAGAAAAATCTCAATTTAGGGATAATTTATTGATCCAATACTAAATTCCCTGAACTAACTTTTTAAAAATTTTATGTTTGACTGTAAGGAGAATTACAAATTTGATCTGGGAGTTAAAGGATTAACGATCTATCTTATTGCTCCAGTGGTGTTTCATCACCCAGCTACAAGCTAACAATTTGGTTTATGGATGCGGAGTGTTGTAAGCATTTCATTTAGTGTTGATTTGAAACTCGTTTAAATCGTGAGATTAATTTCTCGAGGAAAAATAAAAAGGTATTGACAAATTGTACAGTTCTCAGAAAGGCGTGAACTTCATTTTCTGCAAAATTACTTGTACAGCTTTAGACTGTTAGAGAAGAAGAGAGAAATAGCTTGTGGTACCACTGGTGATTCTCTCGTATTTTTCTTGTGAAAGAGGCACTTTCACCTGTGTGTAAATAAGAAACCAGCTAAATTTATATCCATTTTATGTGTACATAGCCTGTACCGGCCTGGTTGAAGATGGAACCAGAATAACCGTGCAGAAATTGTTTCTCTTACATTATTTTCAATACGCTGATTTTTGCATACAAATTAGTTTTCGTATGTTTTTGAAATTTTTGACAATACTTTCTTTTATCGGGAAGGGGGGCTGTAGTCACACAAAGTGAACTAGTTCTAAAATAAAATTAAAGCTGAGAAGGATTCATGATCAATGTCCAGTTGATGTGAAATTCAGTGGGCATAGCCCTAACCTCCAGTAGGTGGCTGTTAGTAGTCATTTGGTAAGGTGCCCGTGTGAGTCAGAGCGTTGTTGCATAGTCAACCACACCAGGGTGATGAGAGGCTGAAACGTGCTGACTGTTTTCTACTCCACCCAAACGGGTACGCTGGGCCTAAACAGCCTGACTTGGGGAGGGGGGGGGGGGAGGGGAGGGGTAAGACCTCAGAAAAATTGTTTACTAGGCTGCTCTATTTTTGAGTTTTAACCAAAAGGGGAACTCCTTTAGACACCTTCTGGATCAGGACATCTCCCTCTCTAATTTCCTTACAACTATAGATGAGGAAAAAAATTAAAAAGCAAACGAACATATGCAAAGCATATTTAGCGAAATACACTAATCAAACCGCTTTTATCTCAGGAAACCTTATAAATTAAGAGTGGAAAAATCCTCACCTATTCCTAATTTGAATCACCTCGTGAAATTCTGCTCCTTCATGGTATAGAAGAAACAGGATACGTCACAGTAGAACATGGAATTATCAACCTATTGCTTTTACTTGTCTCCTTGTTCTTTTAGGTTTTTTTTCTTGTTTTTCTCTACTGTTCAACGTCATCTGTGTCTTCTACACTAAGTAAGATCCTGATCTGTATTCTCCATAATGTTCACCATTCATTTCCTGAGGTACTGACACGGAGAATTTGTTTAACAATCAAGAGCTTTTTTAGTTGGTGATAATCTCCTTTACTCTTGGTTAAGGGTTTTTTTTAACCCTTTAATCCTCAAAGAGTTACCAGCTTCTAATTTCTTCTTACAATATCACCCTTGAATCAAACATTAAGGTTACGAGAATCAAGGAAATGATCACCAACTGATGAAGCTGTTGACTTTTTAACAAATACTCCTTGACAGCGCTTCAGGAAATGTATAGAGAACAGTATGAAGAATATGCATACTGATGTTAGGGGGTAAAGGGTTAAGGAGAAATTAGATGCCAATCGGTCTTCGGGGTTAAAGATATTTAATCTTGTAGTTGAAGCTGCCTGCCCAAAACATAACCATTTGGTTTTCAACGTTTATAAAATGCATTACATAGGTTCGCATATCCCCTGTCATGGACCAACATAATTATTTAGTGATCCAAACAACCTAATTTAAAGTTACATGGGAGCCTCTTTATTCCAGGAATATGTTCCACAAAGTCGGAAGTATTTTCCCTCCATCTTTCCCATCTCCAACACTGAGGAGGAATATTAACAAATACGTAAAAAGGAGGGCGCGGCTCTTTCAGTGTTGCCAATTTTTACTTGAGCTAAAATTTTTAAGGCTGTACTGTTGTTACTTCATGTGAAACGAGGTTAAATGTTTGCAGCAAAGTGACTACATATACGTACCAGCAAGCTGGAATGGCCGCGAGAAGAAAATATATGCAAAAGTGATTGTTCACTCGAGATCTCAAGGTTGTAATATCGATATCACGCTGAGCCTAAGGCTGGTAAATTTTTGCTTATTTCACTTTTCGGCTAGACCAGCTCAAGTAATCACCTTGTCATTCCACAATCTCTTAACTGTGGAAAGTTGCTTAAATTAATAGGTGTACTATATTTTCCTTGTGTACTTTGGTCTCGTCACGCAACGTTTCGTGACGATACCAAGCAAGCCCCTTCCAGACTCCCACAGGTACACGTCATGGGGTTCAATAATATTTCTGATATTGCTCATCTGCAAGATGAGCATATCTTGATAAGTTCCTATGGTTTACCGTTGTTTTCGGCCGAAGAGCGAAAGATCCGTTCTCGTCAATGAGGTCAGTTTACGAAGAATTGCATGCACTATGTCAAGTTGCATGAATACGAACGTATTTTCAACCGTCTAGTTCCGCATACCGTTTAAACCGCTTTCGGCGTTGATCTCCGGTAGCCTAGCTAAGCTTGGGTCATGCACGGGTACATCTGGTCAGTACCACTTTTCCGCGACAATGTTTTTGTTTGATAGAGAGATTGCATTTGGAGATACGCTAGCGTCCTTAACTGATGTAAAAGTAGAGATCATGTGACTGTTCGAAAAGACTCGGAAAAGTGGCATAGACTTTGATAACAGAGCACAACTTCAATTCAAATCAAGTGACGGGTTCCTTAAAAAATTGGTTTTATATTTGCGTGATTGTTGGTACTAATTTAAAGCTAATTCAGTTTTGGATCATACTGGGGTTTTCTATCGTTCAAAGCTGACTTTGTGCACTGTAGCTGAGTAATCACCTCGTATGTTTTCTGCTCTTAGCGATGAAGACATCGTTGAATACCTTGTGTCTCAATGTGTTCCTCTGCAAGGATTAATCAAAGCGTACTCGACGATTCTTGAATGGAGGTTAGTTCGAAAATAGCCAGGGATTAGACCTTCTTTTCTTAGGTCGAAAAGTGTTGTAGCACCGAGTTTCTGGCATTTATCTGCGAGGGGTTGTCGGTAAACTCTTCTGGGCTTAGCAGTTCATTTAGGGTGGGGCTTACCTCAAATTCTTTAGAACGAGAATACGGGCATCCTGGATGAATGCCAGTCCATTGGACATAACTTTCAGCATTTCGTGAGAATTCCATGATAGTTCATCCTTTGAGAGGAGGGCCACTGAGAGAGTTTCTTCCCTGAAAACACAACACAACGACCCTGCCTGGCCTTGAACCTGGGCTTCTAAATCCAGAGCCCAGCATAGTAATCGCGACGCCATTTTATTTTGTCAAGAGAATTGGACCTGATTCTCTTTTGGCTTCATAGATGGTGGTTTACCATTATAAACAAAGAGAAAAATATGCCAGGAACCTTACCCATTTCACCTCAACAAATGAAATGTGAGCATCCGTCCCATAATTCACTGAGCGTCTCCCACTTGTTCCCACACCTTTCAAATGAGCTCGCGTAGCGGTAATTTACGCTAATTGAAACTACTATTCATCGGAAAACGCGACTTTTTTAACTCTTTTCTTTTATCCCTTTAAGTTTTTTGAAACAGAGCCGTGTGAATGCAGAGCTGGACGGCTTTTTCCGGACCGGCTCACGTCAACACATCCGGCCCAACACACGTCAGCTCTCATCGTGGTTTTCTGTGGGATTGCACGAGCGGGGCCGCACGGGTCATATGATAATATAAATGATTACTTGTGCGATTTATTGATTTATTGCTGAATAAAGTGGTAAGTTACTAAGGAAACTGTGGTGCTGCGCTGGGGGTGGGGGGCGGGGGGGGGACGGGCCGGGGTATAGCAAGATAATCTGGTTTTATCGACTGAGTTGATGATGTAAACTGACCACCGCAGAGTTTCTAAAAGCTGACTTTACGAGCGCTAGTCCTTCGTCAGAACGATCAACGGAGGGCTAACGCTTCGAACATCAGCATAGAAACTATTTATAGTGACCGATTTAAATTATCGACTTGGTTGATAAAACTTAATTGATTTATTAATGGTTTGAATAATTAATTGCTTGATCGACCCACCGTCAACTCAGGTGTAAACGCAAAACGGAAAAGGGAATAACGACCGTGTTTTATGGACGCAGTGGATCACAGCTTACAAGTGAGTGGGAATCATTGATCGCGTGTAAGAAACCACGAGGGTAATCTTAAATGAAGGACAAAATTAATGGAACATGACATCCACGTAGCTGCTCTTAAGGAAGTAATAACAAATGAAGTTGAAATGTACCGAAGTTCGCTGTAATACCTTCCTCCCTATTGAATATTGTATAATCACAGACAACAAACTTCCATATTGTACAGGGGGAGAAGGGGTTAATTTGTATTTTGTGTATAATTGGTATGCTATTACATTAGAGTTGACAAGTGAATTCTTGTCTTCATTTATTTTTCCTTCTTCCTTTTGTTTTTATTTTCTTTCATTTACCAAGAGATCGTCTTGATCAGGAATGCGACCATCATGATGTTCAAGAGGTAAACACGACACTTCCATTCATTTGAAAATAACTCTTTGAAGAACTCATCTTTCCTTTTAATTTTTTACTGATTTACTAACTTTTTTTCTCTTGCACACAGGTAAACAAAGAACGAGTCAGGGTAATGAAATCCAACAACCCAAGGTACTTGTTTGTGTTCTTCTTGAAGAATGAAATGTTGGCGTCAAGCCCCGTATCCACCATTACTGACTCTCTCCAATGAGAATCAATACGCGACTAGAGATCAAAATTGACAAATACACTGGCAAAAATGACTTCACTGTAACCAACACCTTGTTTTTTTGGAATTATCGAGGCATAAAGTGAAGTGTGCTTGTGAGATTGTCTCGCACTGCCGTCGGAGCTTATTCCTGTTTCTTTGGCGAGAAATCCCCTCGGGAGTATTGCCAATCAGGGTTACTCTCCCTCCCCACACCCCCCCCCCCTCCTCTACTTTCCGTTACGTTTCCCGGGTAACTTACCTTCCAGAGATTACCACGAGAACTATATGTCCAGCTTATGACCAAAACACATTGACACGGCCAGCACTTGAGCCCCGACTCACTGAATTTCATCGCCCTGAGCATAAAGCTACCGGTTCTTTACATCGTTTGGAATTTATTCGCTAAAGCAAAACGAATTCTGACATTGACAAGTTTTATTTCTGTTCATATCTCCAAGTTTTTTTTTTTATATATCGTTGTGCAAATATTTACTTCGCAGGTTTGTTCTTAGAAATTACATCGCCCAAAGAGCTATAGAGGCCGCAGAAAATGGAGACTTTTCTTTGGTAAGAGCAGTGAAACCAGTAGAACCCGTCAAACATTTTTAATCTTGAAAACCGTTGCATACTTATTTGCAGGTTTATTTCGGTAAAATTTCCCCACAGCCCCATGCTACATTATTTATTCAGTTCTTGGATAGAGAAAACAATGACAAAAACAATACATTGCTATTGGAGAAACAGATTTGTTTTACAATAGTGTAGGGCTGTGCAAAAATTTTACCTTTATTTTCACCCAGCACGATCGAAAGAGATTATGACCAATAGGGAAATAGGAAGTCATTTGGTTTTATTCCCTTCTTTACTTTGGCGGGCAAAGAAAATATACGCGAGTCAAAGACGCTTGTTAGAAGAAACTCGTCGGCGCAAAATTTTCTCGAGATTCTGTGCAAAATTATTTGAGAAGTGTCCTTGTTGGATAATTTGGTATTATTTACTGAGTTGATGACGTAAATTGGCCACCGCAAAGAGTTTCCAAATACGACGTTTCGAGCGTTAGCACTTCGTCAAAGCTAATGGGTCACACTGACAAAAATTATTTCCTGACATTTTCCTTTGTCGTATTCCAACACGGAGACTCGTTTGTCATCTTTTTGAAAGGGATTCTTTTAGGACTATTTTTCCATCTACGATGCAAAGGAAAGCTTGCGAAGGGAATACTTGCAAGCACTGACTGGTTTAAGTGGTTTAAGATGCACTGATAACATTTTACATTTCCTTCTCCTGTTCTTTTGCAGGTTCAAACTATTCTGAAACGCTTGAAAACACCTTACAGAGACGACGTGGAATTTGACGAAGCTACGCTCTACGTAGCAGCGAGTACTAATTCAACCTTGTCTTGTAATCATGAGAAAACGAGGCTGTTCAACGCTCAGGATACAAGGAAAACTAACCTTGATATATTGCCTGATGATGCGTTTAATATGCGGCTATCGTGATCTTCGTAAATCTACCGCGTAATCCTCGTGGGTCCTCGTGGCGGAGTGAGTCTATCGTCCCTCCTCGCTCAAAGCGAAGAAGTAGGGTTAACGACATGCAGGATTGAAAGGGATTTTCACCGAATGCAGTTAGCAAAAAAGTAAAACAGTGAAACGATAGTGTAGCTTGTTTTCATGCTCTTGGTTAGCCTTGTACCCAGGCTCTACCTCTTTGCCACTCCTTCAAACAGCGAATCAAAATTGATGTCACCACACGCAGCTCTCAACTAGTGACCAGGCTTTTACAAAGACTTCTTGCAGGACTATATTGCTTAATCAAAACAATTCCAACAATCTTTCGTTTGGATCAACAAATATGGCCGCCAAAATGCTCTACGCCACGGAAGCGGTTGGAGAATGGAGAATTTCTCAGCTTAGCACGACAGAAGCGACGTGGGAGCCGGTTTATCAGACTGTTTTTAGTCTGTCCGCAGCTGTACGAGTGACTACTTGAGGACAACCACCCCAAGCATTATGTTACGATTTGTACACAAATCTGTAATTTCACCCTCCCCTTCCCCTTGCGACTGTTTTCGTTTTATCCCCTGATCGTGTTCGCTTTTATCCCTCGAGCCCTGGACGATGATCAGATCTGTGATCATCTGTAAACAGACTAGGATGGTTTATCTCGATGGATGTGCCTCTTCCAGTTGTTGACGGTATTAACAAAAACCAATAATTGGCAGTTGGTACCCGATGTGAATTAGATCTGGAATGGAACAACAGAATAAAATATTTTTCTATAGCTTTGTAGTTTGTGTCTCTTAGTCAGTTTTTTCCCCAACTTTCCGTTACGTAAGCGAGATATTAATTTTGTAATATTGAAACCACTTTCAGTTTGTCAAAGGAATTTATGAAGCTATCAGCACAAAATGCAGGTTAAACACAGGTTGCCCAAGCTCCAGCTGTGAGATGATCATCTTGTGAAATAAGAGACATGGCGGAATTATAAGAGTTTGTATGGGAATTTTTACGACCGCTCGTACGAATAAGACGAAATCGCCCTTTTAAAATCGTCTTACATGACAATTTGCGTTGTTTCACCAAAACTTTTATAGGCTAGTTGTAAGTGTCAAGGATAAGTGTGTTTGAATTATCATTCCAAGCCTGAGTTTTGCACGAGTTTAGACGTCAAATACTCATAGCAGTATTTCACCAAGGAACTGAGGTGATAAATCATGACCTCAAGTTTAATATGTTGTCTTGCTCGCATTCTTTCTGTGATATGTTCTTTTCGAAGCGAAAAAGCAGATTGACACCAAAACCGTCCCTTCGTCCGGATGTACTTTCAAGATACCGTTGTAAATGTTATGCATTAACAATTTTATCTATAATGCAGGATAAATCTGAGAAAAAAAATACAGTCACAATCGACGACAAAACTGTTGACTCGTTACTGCTGAAAATGCAAAACTCTTCGGCGGCAAACCAATTTTATCCCTTAAACCCTTGCTTCTGCTCCCTTTCCCTCCCTCCCCCTCTCCCCCTCTCCCCCCTCTCCCCCCCTTCCTACCAAAATGTTTCTCTGTTTATTTTGATCCTAGACAGATAGGTTCATTTTCAATTTTAATGTTTAAAGCTTCCCGAAGTGACTGCGTGACATCTGCTCCGTGATAAGTCACAGATAACGTAAAAATGAGGTCAACTATTCGTCTCTCTCCACCGAAAGATCATGAAAAATCCAGTCAAAGTGCATGTTAAATTTGGCTTATCTGATACCTGTAGTTGATCGATAGAGGACTTTTCCCGAGTTCACATTGCAAATTTAGAAGAATTCAAGTCATACATACTTGAGGCGCAGTCGAGGCTTGCAAAAATTTTGAGAATTCTCCCAATCGTCCGTGTGCTTAGAAAAGGCTATGTAAACACAAAAAATTTCTTAATTGCTTTCTTGAAATATTTCTCAGTATGCTCGGAAAGCCTGACGTTACAACCGTGTTCAGGGGCTCTCTGCTAAACACACCTAACGATAACTATTACTTGCCCTAAAACGTTTGTATAGCGTGACGATTAGAAGTGGATTAGTTGCGGAGATAATAATCAGTCCCAGAGTTCAATGAGGGATAAGAAAAACAGATTAAATTTCGAGGCGCTGGATTCCTTGGTATCTGGCTACATCGCTGGAAGGCTGTAGATCTGTTTTCCCAAAAGGTTAGATTGAAAATATTTTTTTCGCTTATTTTATCATTTATGGGAATATAAGCTCGTTATCATTCACTTTTTTCTTCTTCAATAGCCTGTTGTGTAGAGAAATGCATTAGGCATCAAACCAATACATCTATAATCACTTCCGCTTTTGATTTCATTCGTCGCCATGTAAAAATTCATTTTTAAGTAAATTTTTTTTACGATATGACCATTTTGTGCCGATTATTCGGTATATGAAGCAGTTTGATGTCATCTGTGATAGGTGCTCAGATCTGTACTTGCGAGTGGGAACCTAATTCTTCGCTCTGACGAAGGGCTAAAGCTCGAAACGTCAGCTTATTTACCCTTTACGGTGGCTTATTTACGTTTTCAACTCAGTTGTTAACACTAAATTACCTCTCAAGAAAAGCGACTGGCTTGACTTGAGGAAATCAATTCAAAGATCATCGCATCGCAAAGTTGAATTAAATGTAAATTTTTAAATTTTTGTAATACTAACAGATTCAATCATAAAACGTTTGATAAAATGTTTATGATTTGGAGGATTTCTTGACGGAACTAACATAATGTCATTTCATTCCGACCTCCACCGGCCTAAGGAAGGAAAGAGAAAAGAAAGGGTTTTTGAGCGAAGTATTTTGCGTAGCATGGAAAATACGTCTCGGAAGGAATCGCATGACTCATAAAAAGAATCTGTAATGGCATCAGTGAGTGACTAAGACCATGAATGACGGCATGTTATTTTGTAATCCTTTAGATCCCCGCCAATTCGAGTCTCCTGGTCCTTCGTACTCGACTCGAGTATAGTGGCATTTTCTTTCGGTATTAAGCACATTTTCTACAACGAGACGTGTTCCTTGTTTGCCGTTGTTTCTCCTGGCGAGACTGAAACTTTTTCACACCAGAGAGGTTAGTGAGAATATAATTATGACTGATTGCTGTATTTTCTGCTATTTTCCCAAATAGAGGAACAATTGACTCGAAAAAATGCAAACCTCATAACTTTCAATTGGAAATTCTTATATACAAAACTAGAAATTTAACAGTAGTGTTCTTTTTTTGCACTAAACTTTCCGTGAGTTTTGATTGATTTATTCTTTTACAAGGAATTAATTAATTAAAGTAGAACTGCAAAAGAGCTTACTGCATAAGACTCAATATCCCTGACCTTAGGTGAGGGTTTTGAAGATCTTGAAAATTTTTGTAATTTCAGTGGTAAATCTTTCACAGACCTACCTAAGTATAATGGAACAGCAAATTGGACAGAATTCTCCAAGCAGTAACATATAACTAAAAATTTAATGTTCACTTCAAAATGACCATCCAGACAACGTAACTCACGTGTGAGGATCAATAAACAGATTATTGTATGATGGTTATTTGGTTATGAGGTGCACTGTTTTAATGAGAAAATTTTCCTTTCCCTGAAAAATAGATGCTAAACTCAGAGTGCAACTTATAGCAAGGTATTTTGGTGCAGCCTTTAACAGTATGTGTATATCATTTAAATTGATTGCTTTACTCTACTGTTAGTCAGTTGACAGAATTTTCACTCTTACTGTGTGTGTGTTGATCATTAAGACTTATGATGGGTTTTTTAACTGTCACGTTGACATTGTCAATTTCTCAAGTTTTGGGTTCTTCTTACAACTCAAAACTTCTTACAGCTGAATAACTACGATATAGCCCACCTGAGAGGGCTTTAATTAACCAACTTATTACTGCCCAAAGGCTCATGATGTTAAGGTGTAAAGAATTAAAAGTTCTGGAAACAAACATAATATTTTTTCTTTGAATAATCAATTAGTGTGGTCATAAGTAATTGTGATGAGCTCAATACATTGCAATATAATGTTTGTGTACTAAATATGCTAAAAAAGATTTAAAAAATTATTTTTCCTTTGAAAGTATTGCATAAGAAATTTTAATGGGTTTCATTTTATACAATATGTTGCTCTTGCTTTGGTTATGCTGTGAAGATCCCAATACTGAATATGTACAGAACCAACTGTACCAAAATGTTTACTCTCTGTGTGTGTGTGATTCTGTTACTGGTACATGTAATGTGGTTATTTGGTCAGGAAAATGCCACTGTGGCTATTCAGCCTTGAATCAAACATTTAGGTCATGAGAATAAAGGAAATGATAATTAATTGAAGAACCTCTTGATTGTTAGATGAATTCTCCTTGCCAGCATCTTAGAAAATGTATAGAGAACAGTAAGGAGACTGTATACTGATGTTAGGGTGTAAAGGGTTAAGACTTTTTATCCATATGTAGTCAATTTGTTCATTTGTATACAATGTTTGGCAAGATCATTTAAAACACAGGTTATCTTGGCACATGTTGTGCATGTTCATACATGTTTCAATGCTAAGTTTTTTCTCATAGCTGTGCCAGGTTGAAATCTTGAATTGCTTATCACTGCAGGAGTTCTGTTTGTTTTTTTCGAAACTTAAACAGCTTGTTGCTCTGAAGAAACTGTGATACTTCCAAAATGATTTTTTGATTATTGATCTGAGAAAGAAATATTTATCTTCATTCCTTTACCTTTTGACTTTCTTTAAGTTCAGAGGTTATAAATGAAGGTAGTACTTGTTTTCATATGAAAATTTCAAGTTTGTTTTCCTGTTTTTGTCTTGCATGGAGTTGTTGTTTTTTTTTAAATGGATGATGAAGAGGAAAAACAGGCAAGTGTTGTTTTTCATGAAAACTTTCTT